CTGAGGCAAAATATGGCTTTTCATGGCTCAAGACTCTCTTTGAAGTTTCTACTGCAATCCTACAGTAATGAGGAGAGATGGGTGATTCGCTCTATACTACAAATCTAATTTGAAGCCAGCTCTACAAAACGGTACCTGAAGCAAGGCAAAAGACTTGTTGGGAAAAAAAGATATTAACGATCAAACAATGTATACATACTTTACGATCACCCTGTATGCCCTGGCAATGGTAACGGGTAATCGTACGACTCCAACGCTTTGTTAAGTCTTGTTGAGAAATCAGCACACACTCGCAATTTTCCATTCACCTTCCTATACGATGGGAGCTGCCCATTCACTGTGCGTTACTGGGCTTACGACGCTTACTCCAACAGCCTATCAAGCTCCTTTTCGATGGCTTCGAGCGCAGCATGGGGGACAGGCCTGCAAGCCTTGAATACTGAACGAAAGTTTTCGTCAACTCTCAGGTACGCTTTCTCCTTTGTGCAGAACCCTAGACCTTCTTCGCAGACTTCTGGATAGGCTTTCCTTTAGCTTCAAAGTGATGTCCTTGGTTTGCTCTGCCTTCACTTCGGCAACCATTCTGCTTAAGTGATAGGACATATCTTCGTTCTTCTGGATCCACTCTAATCCTAACAGTGAGTTGTGGGGCGTCACGTATGCGTAGCCTTCGCTTCTGGATCCTTTGATTTCGTACTCACACCATAGCTTTCCATGGACTTTCATGGAGCCTCCACCAACTTTCTGACAACCACTTTGTCTGTTCTAGTCGAGGAGCGCCCATGCTCTTACAAACTGAGTCCAGCAGCGTGATGTCTAATCCAGTATCCAACAGAAAGCTAACTGGATAACTATTCACTTTTGTTTCCACATATACGCGAGTCGAATTCACTTCCATTCATCGCATTCGCAATCTTCATGACACTATGAAAATGATGTTTTGGTTTCGTCCAACTCCTGTTTTTACTGGTGTCGCTGCTTCTTGGAATTCTTCTCTTCAAATCTGTACAAGTGCCCTTCTCTCCGCCACTTGTTCGCAAAACTTCTCCTTGTGACCTGTCTTCTTGCACTTCTTGCAATATCACAGCTTCGATTTGCATTTTTTGGCAAAGTGAGCTTTACCACAATTTCAGCATTCAAGCTTCCTGGGTTCTTCCTTGCTTGTTGCTTCGACAATCTTCGTGCAACCAGCCACAGTCTCGCTATCCTTCTTGAGACTAAGAAAGTTTTCGCCCTTCAGGTACAATTCCTGTAGCGACATCTTTCGTCCAGCCTTGTACTCCTCGTCAAGTACGGCTATGAGTCGCTGCCGGATTTCGGCTTCTTTTTGGCTTTTTGGGCCAAAAATCCAAAGATTTTGATTCCATCGCTATCTAATTCGTGAATCTTCTCTTTCTCGCACAGTTCGTTCATTCGACCGGTATACATGAGGTAATCTTAGGAAACCGCCTTCTCCAGTTTCAAGCACTGGTACCTCATAGTGAACTCCGAAATCTTCACGTCGAACAGCTGCTTCAACGTTTCAACGGTTTCTTCGAATTCAATCACAGTTACGTCCTTCCGAAGCACATGCCTCTGGTTTTTTCGAAACTGTCCTTGTACAGCTTTTCGCACAGCAATCTCACTCTGGCACTTTCTGTGAGTTGCTTCGCATCTTCGACAAAAAGTCCTTGTAACGCGTATACCATTTACTGAAGCACATGTCCGCTTCGGGGTCGAAGTAGAATTTCTCGATCTTATTGCTGAGGGCGGACATCACCGGGATTTTGACTGAGGTACCGCTTCGTCCAGTATCTGTGATGTGCTTCAAAAGCTCCATCATTTCTCTTCCTCTCTCGTCTCTTGGAGCAGGATCAGCATTTCCTCCGAACTCATCTTCGCCATGCTGATCTATCTATTCGTCTTGCCGCAATTTGACTGCTCTCTGCAGTCTCTTCGCTTGAATCCCCGGTGACGTCTTCGTGGTTTCGGCTACTTTTTCGGTTGGTAGCCGCTGCTCCCGATCGCCACTGTTGTGTCCCTCACATTTGGACACTTTTCAAGGCTTCGTTATCTTCGAAAAGAGTGAGAAGAAGAAATAGGAATATTTATTAGAAGTAAATTAAGTAGACAAAGCCCAGAGGAGGACGAGTGAACAATGACTGAACTGCAGTACGATAAAACTGACCGAGGCTATGAGTGAGCGCCTTTTATAGCGCTCAATTCCCGCACACTCTGAGGTTGCGATCGACTACGCGAGGCAGATCACTATGAGGAACAACAACTGATCATTAACAATCACTAACACAACAAGCTTCTACAGGACATCTAAGATAACTCTTGCAAGATGACTTCCGAATATTTATGTAATGTGAATGAAGTTTACCGTTTATCGAAAACAGTGTTTCTTTGAATTGCCTTTAACTGTGGATTTTTTTGAATGTCTAGATAGATTTTTTTAGAGTATTTTCACAGCTTTACAAATTGTCGCAGTAATATAAGTATTGACTCGTATTATAAGTTCGAAGAGTTTCGCAAAACAACAGGCCAGATTTTATCAAAATTCAGTATCCAATGTAACGTTCTTGTAAAAGTCATAAAGTGGTAAACGACCTGGTTGTCTCTTAGCTAGATATCCTGCCAGAACCGGATTGAACTCCTTTACATTGCGAGACTCTGTCAGAGTATGCACGTTGCGCGCCTTGCAGTTCAACACTCAGTGTCAACGCCGTGCCTATGCCATGTTGAGGCGGCCCACCATTGCGGGAGTCAAATTGTTTGAAATTTATTGCTGGCTTGTTTCAAAGTCCTACCCATTTTCAAACCTCTTTTGAACTACTAGTTTCGAAAAAATCATTTATTGTGAGCAGTTTTCACATCATTTGGAAGCTCTTTTTTTCTAGTTTAATGCATTCATTTTTAAGACCTTTGTTCTTATCGCTGTTCCATTGAGAAGACAACAGATTCGTTGTGGAAATTTTCTTTCTTGCTCTGGTAGAAATTTATTTCGAAACAGCCGAAATGTTTGCGGACTTGCGCTGTGATTTGCTTACAGAGAGTTTCCGCATTCGTCTGTCTTTTGACCTTTTCTTTTACCCTGGCAGTGTTCCCTAGTATGGCTGCTACTCAGTGTCATTGTTATTAATCTCGGCATTCCTCAGCAAAGAACAGTGAAAATTTTTAGCCGAGCAATATGAACCGTAACATTGAATCATCATATCTACTCTATTATTCTTATTAGTCTTCTCCATTTTTTCGCGATCTTCAGCTTGGCTTTTGTTTATTTTGAGTTCTTTCTGTTTCAAATTTATCCATCCATCTCAGTTTCGGTCTTCCTTTTGATCTCTTTCCAGTGATTTTCACAAAGGGGGCCAACCTAGTGACGTAATCTTCATTTCTTCTTCTCACATGTCCGACCAATGGAGTTGCTTCTCTTGTGTCTTCTTGACAATTAAGGCAACTTTCATTGTGGTTCTAATGGTATCGTTGATGAATGACCAAAGTAGCAACGCCTGCCGTCCATTTTACAAGGGAACGATACTTAGTGTCCGTAGCCTTTTGAGATGAGATGTATGCCACTATACTCGTCTCCAAATGCTGATTCTGAATCTGACTTCCGTTTCTGCTGATCGTTTCTCTGAAAGGAGTTATGGAGAATTATCGAGACAAGTTTGGCCGCCCGGGGAACTACGATCGGAATGAGAGATATGGTAGGCTGTGGTGTAGTGGTTAGAGCAATAACCTCAAAAGGTGATGCAGGTGTAGGTTCGAGTCCTTTTGTGTTTTTTAGTTTTGCATTGCCTTAATTAATCTTCTTTTTGAAAATTAGGCATCCTCGAAATAACGGAAAATTTGTGTTTTCTAGTTTTGCTTTGCCTCAATTAATCTTCTTTTTCAAAGTTAGGCATCCTTGAAAATTTCACGGACCAGTCAGCATTTTTTAGATAAAATCACGCACAATTCCATCTACAGTACATCTACAGTAACGCTGGAATGCTAACAAAAACCGTAGAGGTTGTGATTAGATCCAGTATAAAGGATAACTCCCGGAGTGGATTTAACACAAAATAGTAGCCATTCCAACAGCACATATGGTGTGTTAAGCCTTGACACACCATGTGTGTTAAACGGTCGTCAATGTATTAAGCTAAAGTGTGAGTTTCTTGGAGCATATGCGTTTTGGCTAAGAAGACAGCTTTAAAGTTTGACTTGAACTTCACCTACATCAAACTTTGTGCGATCGATTCGATTGAAGGCTACCTGGTGCAGCTTGCTTTGTGTCGAACGGTATCTAGGGTCGTTATGGAAATTAAAGAACAAGATTTTTTAAAGTTGACAGAATTTCCGAAACAATTTTGTGCAATACAAAAGCGGCTGGTGCTTTAATTTTTGATCTGGGGAGTGAAAGGGTAACGAGAGAAAAGCCGTAAAGACTCATTTTTACATGTTTTATGAAAATACATACATTGGGAATACCTTTCTCTTTATTAAAAGTCAAATTATTTGTGCGTATTTGCATCGTAGCATAATTCAAAAATTGAATGCGCCTCAATCGAAAAGAAAAAAGTTACAATAAAAGAGCTGCAAAACTTAGGCGAACCATGAACAATCTATGTATCTCGCAGCTTCGGCAGATTCTGTCGATCTTCCCGACTATCCCGTGAAAAGATGATTCAGTTCTCAGAATTCCAATAAAGTTGTGAAAATCTCAATATTTCACAAAGGAAAGGGAGTTTCTACGGAAGGCGCTACGCGAAAATGTCATTGAATCTTTTGATATATTAGTCATTTTCTTTCAAGTTTTCATGAAATGAGCAACATACAGCTTTGTTTTTGTACTATGCCGATGTTTTGCTTCATTTAGCACTGACGATGAGATGCCTGCTAGGTGTAGTTGAATCTAAATATCCGCGTTATTTTAAGCGGTTTTATCGATACCATGATTTCATATTATAAGTCATTGCCTCCAAAGTTATGAGGATATCAAAATTTTGGCATTATGGTGTGGCTAAATTGACATCATGGTCACGAAAGGCTATAGAGTTTCTTTTGAAATACTGCATATAAAAAGAAAGAGGGGCAATGAGCCAGTAATCAAAATGCTTGGTCCAAAATACTTGGCATTCTTGGTAAGTTGCATCTCACATCTCCTATGCAGCGACAAGAATTCTTTTCAGACCATCTTCATACTGCTTGTACTGGATGCATCCAAGGAAGGTGAGTTCAACCTACGAGAGGCTTCAGTCATGTAAAACGAAAAAAAAGCTTGGTGTTCTTTAAGGATTGTACATGTGCCCTTATAAGGGCAAGATACCAACATTAGTCGGCGATTGAAGATGTATATCATTGAACGCGTCTTTAGACGCTCATTCCAAATCTGTTCTCTTTTTTTGCATAGTAAGTTTCCGAAGAGTTATGAACGTTTGAATGTATTAATTTGCCAGCATCGAGTGGCCTAAAATCAACGAAAAGCTCTAAGACAGTACCTATGCGATTTTCACCGGCTTTGTTCCTTCCTTGCAAACAATATGCTCGATGCAAAACTGATTTTCCACTTTCCGGTGTTTTTGTATAGCTTTTCGCCAATTTTAGGCCACCTGGACCTTTGCAAATTTGGACATGCAAACGCTCATAACTTCTTTCGAAAACCTGTTGCGCAAAAAAAGGAAAACAGATTTGGAATTAGCGTTCAAAGGTCCGTTTATTGATGTACATATCAACTTAAATCGCCGACTAATGTTGATATCCTTCCGTTGTTAGCATGTTGACGTGCTGCTGTTATTAGATTGGACCATAAGTCCTGGACCAACATAGGTTGACCAAAAAAATTCATATATTTTCTATATCTTATGGAAGTTCTGATGTATCAGTCGATAGGGTAAAGCCAGCTTTACAAGATAGTGTTCAAAGGTTTGTCACCCTTGATTGAGCGACTTTGAAGCCAAAAACAAAAGACGAGAGTGAAACGAAAAAATTGCTGCTTCCTTCATAAAAGTCTTTAGAAAAATCCTGAAAAACTCAGAAGAACAACTTTGATCTTCTAACCTTTTTGAAATAAGGATTGGAGAAATATTGAATTTTTAGCAAAATGGCTTAAAAAGTCCGGATAGGAGGTAAATTCATTATTTCTCGTAAAGCACTTCATGTAAAAGGCTGGAAATGTGCTTTATTTGTCCGATGACTTGTAGTAGACAAATGTACAAGAACAGCTTGAGCATTAATTTGACCGATACACGGTGATCTTGTTACCTCCCTTCGTGTCGGAGAAAAAGAAACGACTGCAGCTGCATATATGAAAATCTGATATGTAATGTATGTGCTTGAGCAAGTAAGGGTTTTATTAGGGCTGTTTTAAACGGACTGACGGTGTTTTCCATCATTCCTCGATTTCGAGCGCAAGAATTTTTTCCTGATTTTGACTTCTAAATTCGCATTAAATGAGGGAAGACAACACAAGTAGATAACGATTTCCCACATTTCCTCCCAGATATGGTAAAACTGCTCGCGTTGTCGCAATTCTTGGATTCTGCTCCGCCAAAGAAACAGGAAGTTTCCTGCAAAAATTCAGAGCAAAAAAGAGGTCAACAAGTTTAGAAAGTGGCGGTCTATCCGTGGATTGTCCTCTAGAGTTCTGCTATCGGGGTGCAAAGTGCAACGCGCTCTGCCAGATGTTCGCTCATATGACGAAGTGTGTGCTGCGATTTCAACTAATTGCAAAGGGCTTTTTTAAGATGTGGATTGGATCAATCATTGGATTGTGGATAATGCAGGTGCCAAAATCGCCAGTTCTGCGTCTCAACAAACTTTTCTTTGTATAAAACTACATACTATATTTGCTTGAAAAGTGAAGAACAGGTCTTGTAGAGCAGACAGATTTTTGGATGGTGCAGGTATCTAGCCGTAAAAACGCCATTTTGTCAGGAAACCACCACAAAATCAAGTTATAAACTCATGAAATGACCTGAAACTCTGTGATTCCTTTTAAGGCTTATTCTTCTGCGCCGATTCCCAAATCTATAGTAAAACATTGCAAAATATTGACGTAATCGATAACGCAACCACGCAAAATAGCCTTTTTCCCGCCCCGAAGTGTAGCACGCCAGTTTTAGTCCGGATCGGTTCAGGGCCCGGCACGGGCAAATGACAAGCTGGAAATTGTTTTGGGGCCAAAAAACAAAGGGGATATCGTTTTTCGAGATTCGGGGCGGAGCCCCGGAAGAAGATTCCAAGTCCAAGCAAAAGAAGGTCGAAATGCTTACCTTATACATCTAATTCATTGGGAAATAGTCTTCATAAACCTCAACGCACAGCAGAGTTGGCGCCGCTACACCGCGTGGCCGCTAATTGTCGCGTGCGCGACGTCGCATGAGCGATGCCGTTGAACAGCATGATTATATGATCAGTTCTCAATGCAGGCGTAACGATATAACACCAAATTATGTAAGTGAACGAAGAGAGGCTGGTAGAAACAAAGTTTGAAATATTATGAAAAACTTATGTGAATGAGAGGAGTGATAAGCATTTCTTCCAAAAAATTTGCAAAACTGGTATATGAAGATGTGAATTCAAATGGCTCGTTTGCAGCGCAGAGAAAACGAAATCGCGCGAGACTTGGCGTGTATACGCGCAGTAGGACTAAGGAACAATGTATGGAAAATTATGAAAAACTTATGTGAGTGAAGAGCGTGCTTAACTTTTTTCCAAATTAGATTTTTCCAAATTCAAATTCCACCTAATGCCGACCTGAGGTGGGCAAAACGTTCAATTCACATAATTTTTTCAAAATTTTTACATCAATCTGTTGTGCACCTAAAGTTTACTATATGGTAAGATTTTGGTTCTGAAACTTCTCCTCTTGTCTTTGTTAGAGCCCAAAATCGCATCAGCAGCCTCGCTTTCTAAGATGGAAAGCGCGCCCAGTCAATCGATACGCGCGGGAACGACATCTCTCACTCCTGTGACTGCGTTACTTTGATATTTTTTCATTCCTTCATCATTTTTCTTACTTATTCTTCTTCCTGTTTTCTATCTTGATACAGGTGAGGAGTAATTAAAGGAATTTGAGCATTTTGGGCGCTTTTGAGCGGTTTCAGGCGAAGTGTGGCCGGTGCTCTCGTTGCACAAGCACAAAGCGTCATTTTTGGGCTCAAGCGGGTATTCATAAAAACTATTGGGATCAGAGGGGGAAATCGTTTTCGAAAACCCCGTTTGCCCACCTTGTGCCGGGCCCTGGATCGGTTCAGAGATAAATATCTCTATTCAAAGCTATGTACAGACAGACAGGCAGACGTTCGGTTTTGTTTTATACAGATTAAAAGGAAGTTATGCCGCACAGCTCGTCTGCACCGGTTACAAGTTTGCGCTTTCATCAATCCCAAAAATGAGTTGTTGAAACTATCTTCCTATCTAGTTCAAAAATTCAATACCGATAATCTAATATGCCCAAATCTTTGAAAAAACACCAAACGCATAAAAGGGTAGGTATAATTAGGGAAATACATCAAAGTTCACGATGCCGCGTTTTCCACTGCTTGCGGTAAATTCAGTTTGAAATTTTGTCAAAAATCGTTTGATAGAAGCTTTTGTCAGGTAACTTTGCTGCTAACAGCACCGAAAGTGGGTAAGTATCATTCTAGAAGCCAAATGTAATTTTGCTAAAAAGTTTTTTCCCATTCTTGTATGTGTCTTTCACTAACACCTTGCAGAGGGAGCCTGTGAAAACGGGCTTGGAGAAGACGAAGCTGAGGCAGTGCTTAAGCTGATCAACGAAGCACGTTCAAGTCTGGCCAAAGGAGAACTCGAGGGAAATGGAGGAAATTTTACGGCAGCTAAAAGCATGAATCAACTGGTCAATTTGAGCATAATTTCTGAAATTCGTTTCAAAAAACATCTAACTAGGGAAGCTGTTAGGTCAAAGTGACTTTTCTAAATGAGATGCACCCCGTTTTAAAGGGCCTAAAACGCTGATTCCAAGCCTGCCTTCCTTATCTGCAGAACATTTTTGAAGAGGAGTTATGAGCGTTTTTTGGAGCCAAAAAATGAATGTGCATTTTGGACAAAATGAGTTGTTAAAATTTTACTAGCCCTCAAATAATGCAACCAGCTGTGATAAATCTTTCTATTTTAGAGTATTTTTCGAATAAAGGGCTCTGATGATTATCACTGCTTCACTGAAAGGCCAGAAAAATATCACGGCTGTTCTTGTCCTATTTGCACATGTAGTTTATTGCTAATAAAAACTCGTAACTCCTCATCCATAAAGTTCTGCGGATAGGGAAGGCAGATTTGGAAACAGCATTTTATGCCCTTCAATATGTTTTAATATGTTTTACATCCCATCTATAAAGGCCACTTCGATTAAACATGCATTCCTTGTAAGTAGGAAAGGTGTCTGCAGGCTACTTTGTTGGATGCATCTCTTCTAAAAGCGTTTTAACTTTCAGGCTTGGAGTTGCGAACTCGAGTCAGACGCAGCGAAACTGATTGGCTTTTGCGACACGCCGCTGCCTTCTGAAATCCCAATTATCGCAAAGGGTCTCGGCTGGAGCCACGTGTGGTAACATTTATTCTTTCAAATACTGTCTCTGCTGAAAAAAATATTCGGCACTTTTGATCTCTGTTCCCTTCAGTTCCTCTACAAAAGCAATAAAACTCTAATTACGCGTTTGCTTGATCAAATCATTTGAAGCTTTGAAAGAGTTACCTGCTTTTAATAAGATATGGCTACTTAGTCCCAATGGCATCTCAGAATATGATGCATTTGCAATGTAACCATTAAAAGCAGGGGCTCGGCAAAAGAAAACATTTCGAAATTTTGATATGGAAGGTTGCTTGCATCCCAAGCTTCGCAACAGAGCAGGTCCGAGCGCACTGCATGATGCTCCTGTTCAAAAAACTACCCTTAAACCCGTGCGTGCAAGAAATTCTTACACGCGCTCGAACGAGCTTGCAGTCCCCCTTCCGCCGTCAGAGGCGTCATGATATAATTTATAAGCATGAGGGTCCCGCGAAGACTCTTCGTATTTAACCATGACGGGGAGTGGTCCACTCGTCCAAATTCAAAATGAGAACCCTCAGAAAATGCTGGTTTTCGACATTTTCCTGCTCTTTGAGGTGTATTTTCGAAATCAGCGCGTCGCATTACCCCAGGTAAGCGAAAAAATATTATGTCGAGGATTTGCCGAACCACTACCTATAACGGAAACTTATGAAAAAATGAGTTGCACTCTTTTTCTAATCGTAATTAAAGAACGGATCAGTGTAAAGTGCCCATTTTACTAATTATTTTTCCCCACTTGAAGTTTAAGGACAGAATGACGTCCAAGTGGCGCAAATTTCAACTCAAACTAACGTAGAGATAAACTGAGCATGTGCTTTGGCAAAAAAAACCTTTTTTAAGTGTACATTATTCGGCATATAATTTTATTCAGGGTAATATTTGGCAGTTTTAGAATAGATTTGCATAGCAATTAGTTGCGACTTGTATTCAAAATTTTTCCACCACTTAGCCGCCTCAGCGCAGACCAGTGTTGATCCGTAGTTCATGTGTATTATAAGTTGAATTTTGAATTACCAATTTCTACAAACTTACTAGTTTTCATGGCTTTGCAGTCACAAACCTTTATAGATGCGATAAGAAAACACTTTCTAACGTGCGTCTGCGTCAATAATGCATTTGCGCAAGTATTAGGTTGATACATAGCCAATGCATGTCGCTCATCCTTGAGCTGCAGAAAAGGTATAAAAAATTTGAGGAACGTATCATTCAATAGAGCAAAGCAAGCCCTACTATATGGTGCACAAGCAATCTCAAGAAAAATTCTTCCGCGGAAAGTTAGGAAGAAGAATTCAAAATTTTCGAATGCCCAAGAATCGGATCTCTCCTTAAAGGCACCGTCCACCCTAAGTCGAGGGTGTTGAGCTTTTGGCAGCATCTGATAGTAGGGCCTCTACCAATTCAATGCCCAAATCGCGGCGCGAAATGTCGATTTGGAAGCGAGGAAATCGCTCCGGAATAACGAAGATGCACGAGAATCCCCATCAATGCCTGCCCATTTGTGCACGCCCATCCAATCACCATTCCGGAATGCCGACTTGTGAGTTCTCCGGAACGGGGATTGTCAGGGTTTTCGCGGACTTTCGACTTCATACTCGGAATCAGGGACACGAGAAGGCTCTAAAACGACAAAAACGTGGAAGTCGAAAGTCTGGGTGGACGGTGCCTTTGAAGAAATGCTAAAAACCTCAACTTGCTCACGAAAATCACCTGTCGAATAGGCTATGTATGCGTATATCTGATTTTTTCCCATGCCTAAAAGTTTAAAAAAATTCAACATGCTCTAGCAAAATCTTTGCTGGATTGTTTCGACATAGACAATTCCACACTACAAGCCTTTGGAATTGTAACAATAAACAGCCTTCTTCGAGCGTTAGTTATCGAGGAATGCAAATTCCATAGCAACCCGAAAAGGAAGCATTTTCGAATTCTTGGCCTATTTTTACTTTCAACATCTAGTTATGATTTTAAAAAATACCCCAAGTGTACATGTGAATATCTCGTATGTAAAGTATGAGCCTGAACAAGTCGGAAGTTCGCAGGATCTTTTTAGACGGGAATCTGACTTTTGGGTATTCATTATTTTCTGTAATTCCTCAAACTTCACGTACATCGAACCTTTTGCGATTGTTCAAAGTTGCCTGATATGCCTGGTAGAGCTCGTCTTGTTCAATATAGGGTCGGGAAAAAGTCTTTGAACAATTTGTTATTATTCTATTAGGTCGTTCCGAAAGTAATGGCGCTTTTTTCAAACGTATGCCACATCTCGTGGAACAAAGATGTGTGAGAGATTCTGGTAGCATTTGATGCAGCATTTCATTCTCTTTCTAATGGTTATGAAGCTGTTGCGATACAGTCAATGAGCTTCCAGAAAAGAGTCAAAATCTGCGACCTATGCTTTTTGAGATCGCCAAGTTTCACAATTTTTCTAAAATTTTATAACAAACCTCGGAAGGAGTCCAGATAATGGATGGATGGAGCAAACCCTACAGAAAACAGCCAACTTTTTTCCACTTTTCAGAGCTCGTCATAATTTTTGGACAGATTTTGATGGAACCACCGAATTTTAGCAGGCTCGTCTCAAACACAAGTGCATCAAACGCCAACAAGTCTCCTGATTTTGAAACTTACAAAGATGGATTATGGTTTGGCAACAATTTTACAAACCAAACGAGCATTCAGCGCTTCGGTTTAGCAACTTTCGAAAATTTCGGGTACACCTTGGGGTCCCTTGGAAAAGTTGAATTATGAGATTTTATCCCGGAAAACTTGATGAATCGGAAACAAAAAACAACCGCTAGAAAGAGGAGAAAAAGCTGCATCGAATGACACCCGAGTCGCTTGCGGGTTGTTGTTCTGTGAGGTTTGACTTCACCAAATATGGAATTTGATGGCATTGAGAAATTGATTGTAGAAACTCTGAGAAGCAAACTAAGGAAAAGAAAAAATTACTCTGTATTCTATAGTGTTTGCTCTATCTACCTGCCACTTGTACTTTTTCGGAGATTAGGTACAAAAATTTAGAAAAATAGCCGAACTTGACCATGGCAAAAAGCATGAGTCGCAGATTTTGGTAATTTTTCGAGAGCTCATTGAACATTATGCAGTGGAATTAAAACCTTTGGAAAGAGGATGAAATGCTGCATCGAATGCTCCTAAGAACTCTTGAAAATGTTGATTCCACGAATAGTGGCGTTCATTCGAAAAAAGCGACATTACTTTCGGAACGACCTAATATTTTATTTTCGCATATTTTTTATGCCAATCATATGTATTTGCTTCTTATACTGTATTGTACAAACCCTCAAGAATGAACTATCAAAATTTATCCCTAACGGGGACATGACTTTTAAGCAAAGCAAGCGTTAGTGGAAGGCGCACGAGAAAAGGATGACTGACCATCAAATTGCGCGTTTCTTCAAATTTCAAATATCATTTTAGAAAAATGATCAATGTCTTTTCCGCCTAGCGTCGTTTCCAGGACATGAGCAGCACCCGGGACTGCTGTAGGAGTGATGAATTGGCTACTACAAAACACATACAATAATCATAAGATTGTTCGCTTTCGGTGAAGGTTGATTGACCTGGCTTCAAAGCTGCCCTTCTGTGGCAGGACTGTCTGCGACATCATGGAAAAGGACCTTGGGAGGAAGTTTTTTGGTGCTGAACATTAATGCTTTTTGGGTGACATAAAGCTGAAACGACTGCGTAGATGCCATCGACTGCGCAAACTTTCTCCATGCAAGCCACCGAGCGCTACTTTTTTCTGTAATAATTTTCACCGTGAGGCAGGGATTGCCAGAATAATGCCGTAATCACCGCTTAATCGCTTCAAGAAGCCAATGGCCAAAGTTGGCTTACAGAATGAAAGCTTCATCCAGCTTCCGTGAGAGTTGTGCGGCGAACGCTTCCGACGGCTAGGTTGTCGCTTGTTTGTGTCTCAGGCAAAAAGCGGGACGCTGCTACGAATCTGTATAGCATTATGGAGGCGGGTCTGTTGACCTGGCTCAGTACCCATTTTGTCGGGAAAGAAGATTAGTGTTCCCAGAAGCGCATCTGCGCACAAAGCGAAGATTGCTAAGCATATTCTCAAAGCAACATCAAAGACCTCATTTACCCCTGCGGAATGGCCTTCGTATTTGCCGGATCCGAATCCCCTCGATTACAGCGTGTGGGCCTTCTTTAGGCCAAAACCTGACGTTTACTCACGCAAGACTGTGGAGTCTATGCGGTTGCTCTTTAGCATGCGTGGGAGGAAGTGCAGCATTTTAGTGCCACGATGGACAGCGTTCCCACGCGGCTTTGCGTTCGCGCTAAAGGAGGAATCTTCAAATTGTAAAGTCAATTTTTTGTAGCAGACAGTTGAGTAAACATCATCTACTGATTTTATGATCATCTTGCATATCTTCATGATTACGATGAAGATACCTATTCGAGGACTTTTCCCCGACTGTATCTCGTACATTTTTACGACTTCTCTGCTGCTTCAGGATAAGAAACATGCATTAGTTTTGCACCAACCTAACACTATCATTCGGCGTGAATTATAATAAGTAGTGTAATACTCTAGTACCGTGCATTTGCCTTTTTTACATGACCTCCATGATACCGGGCTAACGCTAGCGCGTCTAAGGTCACGGTACTCTAATTTGAAGATGAGGTTGCTATTTGTTTGGAAGACATTGCCATTTCCATTACCTATACATCTGTGTTTACGTAATTTACACTTTTCGCTCAGTCTCCTTATATTCTACCTTCTCTAGCTCAGACCTCACCTTTGATTTTGGATTTTGCTAATTTCAAAACTTTCTTGGGAACTACTGACGACGGGCATTAAGGAATTTGCACTACCGATGTAGTTCTAAGTCCCGGAACCGTATAGTGTAAAAAACATACAAAAAAGATTGAATTGCTTGTGTTCCTATCTAGTTTAAACATTTTGCTAAATGCTTTTTATTACAAAAATACAAATCTGTCTCATATCAACAAAGACAAAAGTGTGAATTATGAAAATCTTTGGTATGTTTTTGTGAAAAGATGAAAACGACGCAATGAAAGAAGTAAAAAATGAGTAAATGTATAAGTTTATATTTGGTAGCGTAAGAGACTGAAATATTATAAAAAAATTTAAAAAAATAAAAAATAATAGAAACCTAAGGTATAAGGCCAAAACATAAGGTTTTGTTATTGCAAAGTAATGGTTATCTTTACACTATTTAGGTATTCTCACAAATGTATTAGGTTGTTGCAAAAATAATGTCCGTTTTGTAAATTTTTACTTTGGAAGGCTATAACTTCGTTCAGTCTCCATATTTTTGAATGCAGTCAACACCATCAGAAACATCAAACGTTTCTTAACTTAGCGCGCCCCTGCCCATACTGATATCGCAAACGGGAAGAAGACCACGCGTCAAAATACTAAAAGTTTTTCTCTCGAAAACTTCTTCTTTAAGAGCTTACAACTCCCTTCAAGCTTTGTCCCTATGTCTGCTAATTAGCCTATTTTGTAGCCGCAGGCCAACAGTATAGGTGTGTATAGAAAAAACTCCAACGAAGGGGTTCCGCGAAAAGAAAAGATAAAAATTCAAAAATGTTCACTCTTTTGAGCCTATTTGTTGTAGGCTTGTAAGTACCTAATTATGAAAATTTGGAATTCTTCGCGCACTAAATAGCTAAGGTTCTCTTCAAATAATGTAGTTAAAGTGTGCTGATTTCAAGCTTACAAAAATGGGCGAAGCTTTGGCGATTGCCCTAATTATGAGAAATTTCTGACCCATAGAATGCCAGCAGCGAGTGTCTATTTTGACGCGTCAATTTCTCAGTCCACATTTCTCCAAAAATCTACATAAGCACGCAGTAGGTAAACAATCTTCATTTAATACACTTGCTATGTTTTCAGAAGAATTCGTTTATTTGCTCCTGAATTGTGGTCAAGAAAGTGGAAGCTTTGAGATTCTGATTTTGAGTGCGGATGTGGAAAATGCTGGTGAAATTTTCACAAGTGAGGATAGCAGCTTATTTTCACGGCCATGAGAAAGTACATGAAGAGAGCTTTCCAATGATATGCAGATGCTATATCGAAAAAGAAAGTTTGATGGAAAAAAAGTTGTTTGGAACATAGGTCTAGAAAAACGGACATTATTTTTGCAACAACCTAATAATTTAGGGCAAATCACGAACCGGGAGACCCTGCTATAGAATTTGTGGACATGGTTCAATCGATACTCGATTTTAGAATAATTGTAAATCCTAAAGGTCTAAGCAATTATTCAGACGATGATGAACCATCCTTCCCTAATGTGAGTCTTCCATTTAAAGTTTAATAAACTGAATGGCATTTTATTCAACCTAACTGTTTAAATAGGAGGAAGAAAGAGTTGAGGATTACGCCGTATTTAATATCAATGCAGACTAAACATTGAGGGCCTTCTTGGAATTATTTGGCTTGAAATACAGAGCGTCTCATGTCCTGCACTGTCCTGCACTACAACCTATAAAGCGGCTGTAGTCTTTAGCTTACCTCCAGCCTCCAAACTCGCTGTACCTCATGTGTGTTCAACTTCAGCAGCATAGTGCCAATAATAGTGATGTAAGAAAAAAAGTCAAGAAAGTGCTACTGTAGTTTCCATAACGTAAGCAAGTCAAAATGTAGATTTTTCGCTAATGTCGAAACTTCCGTTCATCGCACATATATGACATCTTAGCTTTGTTTATATTACTGGAGATATTTGATATCTATTTAGTTGATGCAAGCGGCAGCTACGAGATTGGGCTGCACAATCCAGCGCTGTCCACCACTATATGATGATTATGATGAGACCGTCAGCACATTATGTCTAACGGATCGAACGTAAGCCATATACTCTGTACAAAACAAAGTCTACGTAGTAAACTCTTTCATAACTCTTTGCCTACTTGATAAGGGATTTCATAACATTCTCCACTTTTCAGCTATGATTAAAAAACTAACCACTTTCTTAGGAATATACTAAACTTGGCGTTTCTCCATCCCTCTATAATGACTGGTAGTTTAGTAAACCTGTTTTAATAGGGTTTATAAATATTCAAAAAAATCGAAACCGCTTCTAAAAGCTTGTTCATGTGAAAAGGGTAACTAATGCTCCTGTTTGGCAACGCATATATTTCGGTAGTTATGCCACACTTGGTTAGCTTGGAAATTTAGATTGACGGACGGCTCTGAAGTCTATGCAGAAGGGAGTGCTGATGACTGTGAATGCTCAGGAGTCTTGACATGTAGTCCTGACACTAAGTTATGTGAATTGACTACCACTACCTCTACTACCACTACCACAACGACCACTACACCTACTACACCGACGACAACAACTCCTACTACTACTACTACTACCACTACAACCACCACAACAACCACAAGTACTACTACGCCAACAACAACTACCACTGCTACTACTATTACTACACCCACAACAACCACTACTACGCCCACAACAACAACCACCGCAACTCCAACGCCTATCACAATTACTACAACCCCGGCTATACAACCCTCTCCCAATGCGGTGTTACCTAGTTCCACAGTTGGTGAGTAGTACGAGGATTTTGGGGTGAGGTTCACCTAAGAATTTTCGAAATGACTAGAAACAGTAACAACAGCACACCAATATGCGAGTTGAGATGAGCTGTTTCTTAATATTCCAGAAAATCAACTTGCTGGAGAAATTACGCAGAAAAGGAAATGAGGTGCGGCATGCTGCATTTCAGTCGAGTTTCACTTCCAGACATGCAGTATCACTGCATTTTGCCACAAGTCTACGGTAACATGCGGAAGGCGTTATCGGATTCTGAAGCTTAATCGCTTCGGACGAAAAGTTGGGACTCCGGCCACACTTCCTCGACAAATTTTAACGGAGAATACGGCAAAGGAACTATGCTATACTGTATTTTTCACGTGAAGAGTTGTCATTGTGTGGCCGTGTCCCGCTCCTCCATGTCCGAAGCGATTTTAGCGCTCCAGAACCCAGCTTTCTTGAATAGATTTGAACTGTTGCGTTGGTCAAGGGCCACGCTATCGTAATGCAGAACACGGCATCTAGTCAACCTGAACAAAGCTTTTAAGTTTTATTGCTAAGCTAGACCATGCATTTTTTATCCTCTTCTTTGTTGCACGTGTTTTTGGTGGCGAAGCAGTTTACCTGGGTTGCTGTCTGCGGTGGGATTCAAGTGACTTTCCTTCTAGGCATTTGAGACAAAGGGCCGCATGCACTAAATTCACTGCTGGGAGGGCATGCAGCTTATAAGAAAGCTCCACATTTTGAAGCTCCAGACATATGGATTTCACGCTGTCTACCTATCCATAAGTATTCCCACCATTCTCCACTACATAATGAATGGGTGCCAGAAGCTGTACAAGCGCATTTTCTAGCTTTTTGTATGAACCCCTGGTAATCCCCAGCTGCCGAGCGTCTTTTCTTTACTTCATTTTTCTTTCTTCGAAGTCAATAAAAACATTCCGAAGTGTAATGTTTATCTAACCCAACAGTGCTATTTATGCTTCTGGTAAGAACAGGTGATGTTTCGAAGTCATGAAATTTGCCATGAACCACAAATCGGAAGTTGGCGTTTGTCGAAAAAGTTGATATTCCAAAAACTCATTTGTTCTCATCAGGAATATGCTTAGCACCGTGTGGTCAAATAATCATTACAACTTTGAAGATTTTTTGTTGACTTCGGAAAAAGAAAAGTGACTTGAAAAGACGTCTCCGCGGGGGATCATCAGGGGATTATATAAAAAGCCGGATAATGCGCTTGTACATCTTGCTCTCGTTCATTATGTTCGTATTGAAGGATGGTGGGAATTTTAGGCAGATAGGAGACGGCATGAAATCTACATGTATGGATTTCACGCTACCTATCCTAAGTACTCTATCCTTCACCATAAGCTAGGAGTCAGAAGCTATACAAGCTGCATTTACCAACTCTTATGATCCCCGATGATCTCTTGTGGATAACTGCCCTTTCCTCAAAGTCATTTTCCTTTCTCCAAAGTATACTTGGGTAATTCGATAATTATTCATCGAATGAATGAATATCGAATAAATTCGGAAAATCAAAAATATCGAATGAATGAATTTCGAATAAATTCGGAAACTCAAAAATATCGAATGAATGAATATCGAATATATTCGAACATTTTAAGTCGAATCTCAAATAAATATTTGAACGATTTATCGAATAATTAGAGCAATAGAATAATCACATCTCAAACTTGCCGACATATCTGGCTACAGCCGATCCAATCATAATCAGCCCCCTAGTATCCACTATACCAACTCGTAGCTCAAGATTTTCCAAAAATCGATGAAATCGATAAAGTATTTTTATCCATAATCAGCACCCTCAGTTACCCCCTTGTACCAATTCCCAACCAACTCAATATACACCAATTCGCAAAAAAACTTTAACGAATAGGCAGTTTTGCATTAATTTATGCAAGCAAGAGTGCTCACTAGTGTGGGCTTTGCGTACCGCAAGCATGAGCAATGCAAAGAAAGAAAAACAGCCATTACAAGATATCTTCTTTGCTAATTTGGTGCCAGTAGCAGTGCGAACAATCTCACTGATCGAAAAAGCATCAATTAAAATCCACATATGATTTTTTATTGTCAAGCAGTCGGAAGAATGCGACTCTCCATACAGTTCAAAGGTATACCGGTTGCAAAAGATGCATTACCGAGTTTTGCGAAAAAAAAAACGCGGACGAAATGAGCTTGATACTCAGCAGTTGGCTCTGCAACAAAGTTGAATAATCTGAAGGAGTACATTCGAACACGAATTCGAATAAACATTCGAATAAAACATTCGAATATAATCTATTCGAAACCTCGTTTTTTGATTATTCGAGTTTTCGAATTTTATTCGAAACCCTGTTTTTTGATTATTCGAGTTTTCGAATTTCATTCGAAACCCCGTTTTCTCAATTATTCGAGTTTCGAATATTATTCGAAAATGGAAGAACTGCGAATATCGAATTTCGAATACAAATATATTCGAATGTTTTATTCGAATGATCGAATTTCTATTCGATTCGGACCCAAGTATACTCCAAAGTCAACGAGAACATTCCCAAGTTGTATTTATTATCCAGCCCAACTGTGCTAATGCTAAGCATGTTATGAGAACAAATGATATACTGAAGTCATGAAAATCGCGATAAACCAGAAGTCGAATGCTGGGGTTCTATCGAAAATTCCCAATAACTTAGTTGCTATTATCAGCATCACACTCAGCATGCTAGGTTAGATAACGAGCGCAACTTTGGAATGTTTTGATTTCGAAGAAAGAAAAATGACTTTGAAGAAAAGACGGTAGAAAGCTGAAAATTGCGGCTTATGCAGTTTTTCGCTCCTGTTCAATATGTGCATAGGGAAGGATGGGAGGAATACCCATATGCTCAGAGTGAAACCCAGATGTCTGGAGCTTCAGGATTTGTAGCTTTCTTCTTATGCAATCCCCTCTCCGAAGAGGATTAATGCATGCGGCCCTAAAAGCACTTCAGGATTGTGTTGGTGAGGCACGCGTTATATTTGATTTTCTTGATCCTTTTTATTCATTTGATCCGCTTAATCCGTTTGATCCGCTTATCCCCTTCGTGCAAAACGCGCGCTCACTAATTTGTTTAACACCGCGTAAGTGGAGAATTTTGCATGGTTGCGCAACGAACTGTACCAAGGCCGGCACGTGTCCGTTTCTAGGCTTTTCGAAAACGAAGTCTTCCCTGTCTTTTGAAAATTTTAAGAAGTCAACTTTGACTTTTGCTCTACCCCCCCCCCCCCCCCAATTTAGCCCTTGACAAAACCATCTACTGCTGCGAGCTGAAAATTTCGTGAGTTTAGGTCAAACTCTTGAAGAAAAATCACAGAATTACAAATTGCTTCATAAAGCCCCTACATGTGACAGAACAGAACAAGATAGATCAGGAGGTGAAGAAAGAAGAATGAAAGAAATTACCAAAATATTAAAAAGCTGGAACTGAAAACTAAAACCCAGACCAAGAGGACGCAGAAAAGTTGGCGCTGTTGCGCGAAATTTAACATGGCGATTTTCGGAAAAAGAGGGTAAAAAACGGCGGGAAAATGGCGACGGTGAAACTGTTTCTATGCTCAGGGATGAATTTTGACCGGGCATCCGTTCATGCTAAAGAGATCCGAAACTTTTGGGAAGTGACGGAAATATATGCTTCACACGATCTGGGATTGTCTGCTGGACGTCTGGAGACGGACCAATTTTCTTCAAATATTTTTACATAACTCTTCCGCAAATAATCTTCTATTGCGGTTCAATTTTGGTGTCATATGATTCTGTGTGCGCTGCAAACAAGCAATTTGTTTATTTTAGCTTTGCTTTCAGATCGCGCGCAATTTTCGCCATACACGATAGAGCATGTCAATCGTATGATAACCTGCCCGAAAAGCTTGCTTTGGCTAAATAGAGCTTATCCTTGGTGCTCGGCCCCGACTCCGCAAAAATGATATCTCCTTTGCATTTGCTTCAAAAACGAAGTCCAGCCTGCTTCCAGACGATCTGTGACCCTGAGCTGTACGCGACGCTAAATGCAAATCAGAGCGCACGTTTTGCATGAAGCGAATCAAGCGGATTAAGCGAAGTCAAGTGGATCAAGTATGCGCGTGCCAAATAGAAGTTGAAAGCACACAAACTGTGGCAAGAGTAGAAGATCGTATTCATTGCACGGCTTACTTTTGTGCATGATTGATAGCTACTAAGACGTTGAAAAATCTCATCATTTCGTAAGCAACTTTGTGCATTGACATGAAAAACTGGGGAAAATTTTAAACATGGATGTTTTCTGATAAAATAAGAATACACCTACTATGGGTTTGTAGACAAAAAAGAAAAATGTTACGTTTTTCTGCAAGTTGTTCGGAGTGTTTCTGCATACAAATACTACCCTTTGATTTAACTGAAAGCAGGCTTCATGACGATTAAAGGCAGTGACTCGGCAAATCTCAGCCTAGTCAAATTTTCGCTTACCTGGGGTTATTCAATGCGCTGATTCCGAAAATCCATTTTTGAGAACTTGAAAGCGCCTTAAACAAGCGTTTTCCATTGCCCTTCCCTTTGGAATTGGACGAGTGCAGCAAGGCTGATGACGCCGAATCGTTGCAGGACCCAATGGTTATAGCATTGGGGCGGGCAGCCTCCAGTAATGAGAAGAAAATTGGCAACTCGTCCAGATGCGTGTAAGAGTGGCTTGCGCGTGTAATTGAGAGCAATTTTCTCGGCAAGGAAGCATGCTGTGCAACCGGGATTGCACAGTTTTCATACTTGGGCAATAGGGAGTCACCGCGTTAAAATTTTGAGTTGTTGAGTTTTGCCGACCCACTGCCTTCAAGGTTAGAGATTGTCTTAGAGCACGTTCACGAGAAAGACGCAGATCGCATCGTGGGTGCGAGCGGTCGCCTTACAGCCGTCAATTCCGCCAGATCAAAGGCTACTTTATGAGCTTGCTGAAGAATAAACAAACACCTTAAAGAAGTTTTAAAAAGTTTATCTAAAGAAGCGTGATTTTTTAGCAGACAGCATTTGTCCTGATAACATTTACATGACGGATAAGTTGAGGTTAAAGATTTTGGATATGCACAACAGCCGCAGGTAACTTTAGAGCTATAATAGATAACTGCATTACATAAATGTTATAGGAGTTTGCTTGCACTTGGAAAAGTGACTAAAAACACAGGTGCCTATTTACCAGCAGCAGCAAATATGCGTAAACTGGTGAATTTACAATCTTGTAAGGCATTTCGTATCGAGCATTGTAGAGGTATGACTGTGAGCTGGAGTTCTCAGCTATAAAATTCGCCAGCCAATGTTCTAAGATTGGTTCAACAGAAGATACTAGAGTTGGACAGGGTGAAAATATGTATCAATTGACAGAGACAGGAGTTACGTCGTTTGAAGAGGCAGCAAGCAAGGTTGTTGAAAACAAAATTTTTTGATCGGGCATAAGGCTTCATTGTACGTTTAGGCTGTTAATTCATGGTGGAAGGTAGTCCAAATCTACCCTAGTCTTGGGTCAGCCGCTAAATTTCGGGAAACCCACGTTGGAACTGCAATCATTACATTTACACAGGTATACCTACGCTCAAAAGTAATCTTCCATCTTTGATTGAAACGCTTTTTAGATGGCATGGGCTGCAACGCAGTACTTGGGCTGCTCAGTCGTACATTGTTCGCCATTTTACACCACTGTTTGCCGTTACTCTCCTAAGTAAAATTACACCGTTATTTATCGCTTAAGGACTAATTCTTTTTTTTTCAGGGGAAATGTTGCTGGCGAAACAGTTTATGCTCCAGGAGATTTTTGCACTGCATGCCCACCTGATACCATGTGTAACGCTGCACTCTACCTCTGCGCCCCGTGAATAAAAGCATTAGGATTATTTTTGGTGTTAATCTATGCCCTAGTGAGACAGCAAATCTTGTTCTGTGATTTAGCAGTTTATTTCATCAATTTTTGAATTGCCTCGCAATTTCATAAGCGAATATGAAAAGAATCAAGATTGCATAATGAGAATAAAGCCACACGGGTCATGTTTAAAGCTTTTCTACGCTTTTGATAAGCATCCCACCAATAAAGCCTTAATTGTGATTAAACGTTGCTCGTGGTAAAGGACATTACGTCGCCAACAGGCTCCGCGTACAGGTAGAATGAAGCCGCGTGTTAAAACACGCGGCTTATCGCAAATGTCTACGTGAGATTTTCCCTTGCAGCGCCTTATGTCTTCTATTCAGCTGCTCGTAGTATATTTTCGGTCTGTATTCTAACAAGTTAATGATTAAAGGTAAATTTTTGTAGGAAGTAGATGACAGTAATAAATCCAATAATTCATGTGTTTTCCTGTAATTTTTACTATTGGTTTAACGAAATGGTCTCACACTTGAAGTTGCAATCTTTGCGCCGAAGCATTGACTTTTATGAATTCTTGCCTTAACAACAAGCCGGATCCTTGTACTTGAAAAAATTCAAATCTATTTTGAATGTTAGATGCTTGAAATCCGTTCATAAAGTTGCTTGAAAGGAAGGAAAAATATTGATTAATATTTCCCTGTTTGCGCACTCAGATCACTTTTTGTGATAAACATGACTCGCCTAAGAAGGAAGAAAGTTGGCTTATTTTCTAGAGTTGAGTTTTTTGGTCGCACTTTTATGCTTGAGCAACTGTCTGCTGCGAATCCTCCATCAATTATTGAATGTGAATCTTCCATTCTGAAGCATCCAGTGGTGAAAATATGAAGAGAAAGATATTTTAGTCAAAGATAGCAATTTTGTGATTGCTCTGACAAGGGAAGTACGATTAGTCGAAGTGGCCTTTCCGAATGAGTCATACACCGTTTTAAAGAGCGTTGAACGCTGATTCCGAATCTGATTTTATTATCTGCCGAGCGCCTCTGTTTGCTGTGTTATAAATGTTTTTGAAGCGAAAAATGAACGCAGAATTCAAGTAAAAATAACTATTGCGGACTTTTCAGCGCCTAAATAGAGCAACATGTAGTATGAGTGTTTTGCACAGAAGGTTTATTGTTTGAAATGTAGTGCTCTGATCACCAACATTGGATCATTTGAACAATTCTGACGAACTTTGCTCTAATTACGCATTCAATTTCTCAACCCAAAAAACGCTCATAACTCGGCGTCCGGAGGCGCTTGGCAGATAACGAAGACAAATTCGGAATCAGCTCTTCAAAATAATATATGACCCATTTGAAAAGGCCACTTCGATTGATCCGACCTCCCTTGTGAGTGCCGTGGAAACAAGTAGACATCGGAGGTACTAAAGATTTGGAGCTGTAACTGTCTGTGGTCGAAAAAATATGTCAGGGGACCAAGCAACCATTGTTCTTGGGAACAATTCTGGTTGGTTACTGCAAAAATTCCAATTTTCAGACGCGTACTTTGTCCACCACCTTACATTGCAGAGATCACGACTATGATTACAGACGGTCATTTGTGATGAGCTTTTCTCGACTATCGATAGTGAAGCACATGTATAAATACTACTGTCACTTATGAACAAACCTTAGTTATGCTAATGTGAGAGATATCGAAGCTAACAATACAAATCAGAAATGTGTATAATTCAGGTATATTTGCAGCTGATTTGCGCATCGATCACGGAAATAGGTTGCGGTTGGCGAAAATGCCAGTTCCCATTCGACGTACATACATCTTAAATTTTCTTATAATTCATCCGTAAAAACGTTTTATATGTATTTCTGGATCAAAGTTGTTGTGTCAATTAGTTTTGATAAATCAAATTTCAAAATGAAAAGCGCCGATTTGTTTAAGCTTTGCGACGCACTTGAAGTTGAATCGTTTTGTAGAATTAGAGAGGATATATTAGTAAGTTTCATTTTTTGTTTTCCCTTTTTTTATAAAGTTTTCTAACAACTTTGGAAAATAGAGTATGCTTGTGAAAGAAAAAATTGCACGCCCTTATGTGTTTCGTACAGCTTCTAGTCGTGTTTTTCTACAAAAAAAACTCGCATTTTATTCAAATTTTTTTCGAAATCACTGAAATTGGGCCATAATGCAGCAGGATGAGCCGCAAAATAATGACACGTGGTTCACTGGAGACGACCATAAGTCATTACTGCAAATAAGATAAAATTTGCAAATTTTATGTTTATCAAAAAATTCTTTTTCACCCAATGCAAAAATTAGGACTTCCGCTAAAGAATCGTTATTGAAATTCATTTTGAAAAATTTGGTCTAGAAAAAAAACATTGAAGAAATTTGGGCTTTGCTTTGTTCATTATCCGAAGGCTATGCAAACATAAATTTGGAATCCAAAAGTAGAAATGAACTTTGCTAATTTCTCCAATTTTACCCTCAATCACCACGAAAAGAAAGCAATAATGTATCGAATAAAGATCTTTTAGAGATTGCAGATTGCTCCTTTTTCTGTGATTTTGGCGTTCCTAAAGCTTGCTAAAAAGATAAAGAACTTTTTGGTCTAGTAGATTTGCGACATTATTAAATTTAGTGCTTACTTCGCAGTATAGTTTAAATAATTTACAAGATTGAACTTATGAAGATTTTGCGATGAAGAAAAATTTATATACTCTAAAATCCGTACATTAAGTCCGGATTTATCTGCAAAATGCGGACTTATCTGCAGGACTTTTGGCGGCGCGAGGGTGCATTTCCATAGAAAAAAGCGGACTTATCTGATGGATGGACTTATCTGATAGGCGGACTTATTGTACGGATTTCAGGGTATTAGATCCATTCATTACGATACTTGTGGTATTTCTAGAACTCAAATCTTTGTTGTGACAGACTATTACTTATGCTGTTTCTATTGTTAGTTTTCGCTACTACTGACAATGAAATGCAGATTATACTGCTACAGTAGCGTTCATGCTAAAAGTATTTCTTTGGCACTGAGCCACATCAGTACATTATCATACCTGTAGAAGCTCCATGATACAATAAATTTGGTAGAATGAATCATCTCATTACTTACTTCGAGCCGGAAATAAGGCCTTCTGGCAAGAATGTCAGAATGAAGATTATTGTTTTTACAAAAAAGCGTGGGATTTCTCAGATAAAAGTAGTGAGTAGTAATTCGTAAGTACCCATTTTAGGAAGCAACAGAGGATCTTCATGAGCAGATAAGTGGGAATTGTGACAGCTGTCCGGCAGATACAGCTTGTGAAGCTGCAGAAAGTTTATGCTAAAGTAACGCTCCGTTAACAACTTACAAACCCGACAACGACACAATTCCAACAACAACAATAGCACCACCAACAGCAGCTGCAAAAACAAGAGCGACAACAACATTAGCGACAACAACAGAAGCAAAAACGACGCCAGCAACTTCTGGAGCTTCTTATGTTTACCACTACCCTTCAGAGTTTCGAAACTATTAATCGGGTCACAACTGACCGCTGAAAAAGTTTGACTATTAATAAATTCTGTTTTCGGGAAGCGAGAAGAAAGATTTTTTCGGCAATCTTTTTTTTTCCGAAGTAAGCCTGACATCAGAACTTTTTGCATAGACAGCAGTTCGAACCTTAACTGAATGCGGTATCTATCGCATAGGGGTTTTCTTGACAAATTTTAAAATGGCGCACATGCTGGTGGTTTGAAAGGAATAGAGGAGCTGTAGTCATGCTCAGGGCCAGGCACAGATAGTCTGGAAGCAAATTGGACGTTTTTGGAGCAAAAAGCCTAGAAGTTATCGTTTCTAACGAATCGGGGCCAAGCACCAAGATTAAACGCCATTTAGTCGAACACAAGCTTTTCGGACAGGTTATCATACGATTGATATGCTCTATCGTGTACGGCGAAAAAAGCGCGCAATTTGAAAGCGAGGCTAAAGTAAACAAATTGCTTGTTTACAGCGCACACAAAATCATATGGCACCAGAACTGTATACATATATATATGCAAAAGAATTATGCAAAAGATTTGAGAAGTTATTGAAGTATTACTTTTCCAAAATTAGTCCGTCTCCAGACCGTCGCCAGACGATCTGAGATGATCTCATATAATTCTGTCACTTCACACGAGTTTCGAATTTTTCCAACATTGACGGATTCCCCGCTCAAAAATCGATACCTGAGCATGAAGACATTTTCATATCATTGCCTTTCTTTGTTTTTTGCCTTGAAGGCCGTGGCTCGGCAAGTCTCAACCTAGTCAAATTTGCGCTTACCTGGGGTTCAATACGCTGAACCCGAAAATCCACTTTTGAAGCTTGAGACGGCGAAAATGAGCGTTTTTTAATGCCATTCCCTTTGATGTTGGACGAGTGGAACAAGGCCGATGATGCTAAATCGTGGCAGTACCCGATAATTATAGCGTTGCGGCGGGCAGCCTTTTATGGTGAGAAGGAAATTGCCAACTCGTCCAGACGCGTGTAATAGTGACCTGCGCGCGTAAGTGAGAGCGATTTTCTCGGCAGGGAAGCATGCTGTGCAACCGCAATTGCACTGTTTTCATAGTTGGGCGATAAGGAACCTACCGCGTTAAAATCCCGAGTTGTTGGATTTTGCCGATCCACTGCCTTCAATCTCTTCATAAATTTGTTAATTATCGCGCTCCAATGCCAAGCTCTTGTGCATCCGTAGTATTCAGCTCCAATTTGGATTTTCACTCTTACCTTACGTTTTTTCTTTCAGACTAGTAAATTTTTCTTGTCATCTTCTCCTAAGTAGGTAGGTCAAAGGAAACTTCGTAAAATTTTCGAAAGTCGGGGAGACTTTGTTTTAAGAAACCTTAGAAACCGACTCGTGCCGGGTCATGGTCATGCTCTACAAGGGGGGGGGGGGTGGAAGATTCGAACAGATATGCTGGATTGTCTTGAAGGCTTTTTGAATCGATGAGATCTTGCTGGGTTCAATGAATTTGAATAAG